TTGGCTAGGTGTGGGTTCCAAACTGGTGCCGCATACTCCAATATGGGCCTAAGGTACACGGTGTACAGGGTCCTGAACGATTCCTTATTAAGATGTCGGAATGCTTTTCTGAGGTTTGCCAGGCGCCCATATGCTGCAGCAGTTATTTGATAAATTAGACACATGTGCAACTCTTGCGTATCTTTATTGAGGAAACGTTTCGCCACACAGTGGCTTCATCAGTCCATACGTAGGAGAAACTTGAAGAACAGGAGGAGAATGAGGTAATCAGTCCCTCAACCTTGAGTCGATGTGTTCAGTCCATTCTATTCAAGATTGATGGACTGAACACATCGACTCAAGGTTGAGGGACTGATTACCTCACTCTCCTCCTGTTCTTCAAGTTTCTCCTACGTATGGACTGATGAAGCCACTGTGTGGCGAAACGTTTCCTCAATAAAGATACCCAAGAGTTGCACATGTGTCTAATTTATCAACATGTCGGTTCTCTGAACCATTCATCTACAAAGCAGTTATTTGGTTGATGTGCGCTTCAGATGTGCCTGGTGTTATACTCACCCCAAGATCTTTTTTCTTGAGTGAGGTTTGTAGTCTCTGGCCCCCTAGACTGTACTCCGTCTGCGATCTTCTTTGCCCTTCCCCAATCTTCATGACTTTGCACTTGGTGGGATTGAACTCCAGGAGCCAATTGCTGGACCAGGTCTGCAGCCTGTCCAGATCTCTTTGTAGTTCTGCCTGGTCTTCGATCGAATGAATTCTTCTCATCAACTTCACGTCATCTGCAAACAGGGACACCTCGGAGTCTATTCCTTCCGTCATGTCGTTCACAAATACCAGAAACAGCACTGGTTCTAGGACTGACCCCTGTGGGACCCCGCTGGCCACAGGTGCCCACTCTGACACCTCGCCACGTACCATTACTCGCTGCTGTCTTCCTGACAAGTATTCCCTGATCCATTGTAGTGCCTTCCCTGTTATCCCTGCTTGGTCCTCCAGCTTTTGCACTAATCTCTTGTGTGGTACTGTGTCAAACGCCTTCTTGCAGTCCAAGAAAATGCAATCCACCCACCCCTATCTCTCTTGTCTTACTGCTGTCACCATGTCATAGAACTCCAGTAGGTTTGTGACACAGGATTTCCCGTCCCTGAAACCATGTTGGCTGCTGTTGATGAGGTCATTCCTTTCTAGGTGTTCCACCACTCTTCTCCTGATAATCTTCTCCATGACTTTGCATACTATACATGTCAGTGACACTGGTCTGTAGTTTAGTGCTTCATGTCTGTCTCCTTTTTTAAAGATTGGGACTACATTTGCTGCCTTCCATGCCTCAGGCAATCTCCCTGTTTCGATAGATGTATTGAATATTGTTGTTAGGGGTACACATAGCGCCTCTGCTCCCTCTCTCATGACCCATGGAGAGATGTTATCTGGCCCCATTGTGTGTGTGTGTGTGTGTATGTGTGTATGTGTGTGTGTGTGTGTGTGTGTGTGTGTATGTGTGTGTGTGTGTGTGTGTGTGTGTGTGTGAGAGAGAGAGAGTGCGCTCCTTGAATGAGAAATTTATCATAAATTAGAAAAATATAGCACATTACTCGTCATAACCAAACTGGTAATGAAACTTACGAAATCTCAACTCAAGAGACGTTGAATAAAAAAATGATAAAATGTAGCAACTCACGATGTAGAAGAGCGCCTCCTTGGAATGCTTGCCGTGTTTCGTGTAGAGGCACTCTTGATAGATGCCCATCCTCGCTGACATGAAGAGAGCAAATGTAAGAATCGCGATACCCATCAACCAGGTCGTGAAACTCGAAATTTCACCCGAAGACCCGCCTTCTTTCTCGTCCTGGGGCTGCAAACAAGGTGTGCATAGGGACACAAGGGGATCATAATTATTAGTTTATATATATATATATAAATTATATATATATTTTATATATATATTAAAATATATATATATATATATATATATATATATATATATATATATATATCCACATGTTCAGCAAAAGGAAGGGTGCTGATGATGGTGCCAAAGGTGATCATGAAGACTGAGATGTACTTCGACACTGAGTATCGACGTCCCAGAGCCAGGATCCCCAGATTCATACTGACAATCAATCCTCCCTGCCACAAATATTAAACGAAAACTAAAATTAAGTCCTCCTCAGTAACATGCAGGTAAAATTGGTGAATATACTTAGCGTGATTTTTACGGGATTAACGAAGGAGAATCGAGGTTGCGTTAGCCCTTCATAATGAATTAGTCAAGGGTTTATCGTTATAATGCATATGTCCGAACATTCACGTAATAACAACACATAACAGCATATATATTCGAACACGCACGTATAAAAATATACATACTAACATACACATCCTGATACACTAACAGTATAACCAGCAGCGTAGACATACCAACGAACGCATATCGAGGTACACAAAACAAAGTAGTATACATAAAGATACCCAAGAGTTGCCTATGTGTCTAATTTATCAACCTGTCGGTTCTCTGAACCATTCATCAACATAATAATGTAAGCTATACACTTACACTGCGGAAAATGATGTGGAGTGGAACAGAAATTTTGAATCCAAAGGCCATGTTGTTGGTGACATTGACCAAGAAGAACATCACCACCAACACCAAGTATTCTCTGGCACAGGAGAAGACAGCGAGACAGAATTACTATTGTATTTGATACTGGGAAAGAGCTCTTGATCCAGGGGATTTAGTTTTGCCCTTCCCTCTAATTGAATCAAGCCTGACTACTTTCCATTAGACGACAGGCGTTAAACCACCCTTACGGGTTTAGTGCTTCCCCATGAGCATTACACAACCTGGCTTTAAATACAAGTTTAGATAACTTTATTTCATGTCATTAGCACTATTAATATTAAAGAGATCATACAGCGCCTGAGGAATTAGAAGTAATTGGGTTTAATCCGAGGAAGAGGAGGGCAGCCTTAATTTCTTGGATCAAGAGCCCTTCACTAGCATGGAGACAACCCTCCCTCCTTTCGCAACTGTTATAACCCCGTATCTTCTTATTTTTTACACAGTGCCTTTCATTTCTCTATATTATTTTGCAACTATGTTATAAAAATATTATAGTAAATATATCATTATGATATATCTAAATATTGTTCTATACGGATTTTAATATTAGTATAATAAGAGACGTGACATTATACCACCGTAGCTTACTAGTCACAACATGTAATCTATCTATTAAAAATAAAACTTGTTGAAATCATGTATTCTCTCAGTCTGTCTGTTTCTCTCTTCCTCTTTCTCTCTCTCTCTCTTTCTCTCTCTCTCTCTCTCTCTCTCTCTCTCTCTCTCTCTCTCTCTCTCTCTCTCTTCTCTCTCTCTCTCTCTCTCTCTCTCTCTCTCTCTCTCTCTCTCTCTCTCTCTCACTCTCACTCTGCTGATGATGCTCCAGTCACTTATGTCGAGTCTGTCTGCTTCCCTACAGTAAACGGTGCCGCCCAACTGATCTTCACTATATAGGAGAGAGAGATGTCACTAAGGATACACCATCATATATATTCCCACATGTGATTTAGTTAGGAAACGATCATGATTGCAAGGCTTAAGGTACTTAAGAAATCGACGTTCGTCGTCTGTTGGTCGTAAAGATACATACCAAAACCTCTTCTGATAGTGTCCTTGGTGTCCATACGTGTTTCATATCATGGTGTGCAACTCGCACAGGTTACATGGTGTATAACATACTGGTCAACCAACTTCTTGTTACAAATAAATAGCACTTTCAGCATAGGAACAGTAATGGAATTGGTACCACGGTTCGAAAATTTTGTCGGTCGACATATGTGCCAAGCGCCATGAATAAAAATAAATGTAAGGAAGTCATCAGACTTAGGGGGGGGGGGGACTTATATCTGAGATGCAGAAGCCTACCGCATAACTTTGGCAAAACTTAACACGATCAGGCTGTTTCTGCTATAATGTCTGTGGGAACAATTGTGGATGATGGAGTTATGAGAACAGCTGTTGTGTAGTGCTCTGTGTGCTTTCAGAGCTGTGTACCTCTGTTAAATTAATTCGATTTTCTCTTTAGGATTCAGATATTATTATTAGAGTCAATGAAAAAAGTTCAATTTCCTCTCATGCTTTATTTACTTAATGAAATTTCAACAACTTCTTGATATTTCACTAAGGTTTTGCGTGTGTGTGTGTGTGTGTGTGTGTGTGTGTGTTGTGTGTGTGTGTGTGTGTGTATGTGTGTGTGTATGTGTGTGTGATGTATGGTGGGAGGGATGAGAGGAGTGGTAGTCGCGGGCGTGGTGAGGGCGTGGATGACGCACATTGGGCGGGGCTGGTAGACATGGTTTGGTCAGGTATATAAGAGACCAGCTGGACCAGCATCTCTCATTGTCCAGCTCACTCACCTGTCCACTCAACATGAAGGTTCTGGTAAGTATCATTAATATTTTTTTACTATTGTATTCACAGGGAAAAGCTTAATACATACTATTCACACAGAACTAGGTGAATGTGAGGTAAACATGTTTGATCAGAGGAAGAGGTATCTCTTTGGGTCAAGAGTCCTTCACTAGCATCAGTGAATCCCATTGAAATAAAAGTATCGTTACTAATTCTTAAATTATGCATGACATGTCTTGACATCATTTGATTATTTATCAGTTTCTTAATCTCTACATAATATCCATGCCAAAACTGATTTCCCATATGACATGACTGTCTCTAAGTTCCTCGTTCCTGTAGCATTTAAAGATTATCTATGACATCCTCACAAAAGAGTCGGTACTACTACTATTTTCTAATAATCATAATTTTATCATTCGTTTTTCCTGTTGTGCTCCAAAAAACTTATTTTAATATAATTTCTGCACTTTCTCTTACCCCATTTTCCTTTATACAGAAGAATTACAAGTGTTCTCTGTTAATGTTTTTGCTCTGTTCTGCTTCACTCACTTCCCTCTTACTTCTGATTCCATTCCACCTTCTGCTATATCCTCCAACCTTAAAACTTCTCCCTCATTATCTATCATTTCACAGTTTTTCATCGCGTGGAGAAACACGTTTCATTATTTTGCTCTTATTTTTCTCACTCCTATCACAACTGTTGTAACCCCGTATCTTCTTATTTTTTTACACAGTGCATTTCATTTCTCTACATTATTTTGAAAAACAGTTTTACAAACCAACTTTTTTTTTCTTTATCCTAGTATTCGCCTTACTATTCAATCAATCATTTCTATTACCTTGGCCAACTACCTGCATACGTTCTGCGTTTTTTTCCACTACAAAGTGTCTAAAGACAGAGTTTCAGAATTTCTTTACAGCGAGTGAATAAAGTTCTAAATAATCTTTATTAAAAAAAATCCTTCTAGTTTATATACCTTCAATATTATTTTGTACTTAAATTTCAACACCATGTCACTTGGAAATTCCAGCTGGAAAGACCAAGTGACAGTGGTTTCACTGTCACTTAATTTCACTTTATTGTAAAAATCAATGTTGCAGGTTTTGTTCGCCCTCGTGGCTGTCGCCGCCGCTAGGCCTCAGACTATCGCCTTGCCAGCTCCATTGGTAACGCTGAAGACTGTTTCCGGCTCACCAAGCGAGCACTACACTGCTTCTTACTCCAATCTTGGAGTCATCCCATACCCATTTGGCGGCCTTCCCTACACCTACAGCGCATTTCCATACAATCCTTTCCTGGTGCCTGTCAAACCTACTGAAGAGAAGCGCGAGAAACGCTCTGCTGACGCTGAGCCAGAAGCTGATCCCCAGGTGCTTCTCTACCACTCGCAATTCGCTCCTGGCGCCTTTCCCTACACCGCCGCTCCTGGCGCCTTTCCCTACACCGCCTATAGCGCCCCATACACGTATACTGTCCCAGCTGCGAGCTCTAAGTTTACTGTGCCCCTTGTTACTCAGGCCAGCATCCCCAGCGTGTATTCAACCATCAGTCCATACTCTGGCATATATCACTCCGCTGCTAAGCTTACCCTTCCCTACATCACTCCTTACACCGGACTCTACCCACATCTCTCACCTCTTGTGGTAAATCCCCAGATAAAGTTAGAGAAGAAAGACTAAAGACTCAAATGGCGAATTTGAGAGCTACTGGATAACGACGCTTCTCCGTTGTTAGTTGGCTGATATTGAGACACACTCCACGTCAACACATGTCTTAATTTAGAGAGCAAAAGCTTCGAAGCAGCGTCGAACCTCAAATATTCCAACTGTAGTTTAGTTTAACCAAGTAAAAGTCAAAGAGAAGAATGCAGACAAAAATTTATCAATTCCAGCAGCCAATATTAAGCCTGACAGAACTGATCACATGCAGACGATGTCTACTTATTGTTTATTGACCAATCACTCTTTTCTTGTTCTTGTCATTTTTTTTTCAAATTATTGCAAAAATAAATACATAATTAAATTAAAAAAAAAAAAGAGTTTTACTTTCAAAGATAGATGGGTTTATGGGGTACTCATTCATATATATATGATATATATATATATATATATATTATATATATATATATATATATATATATATAAACACTGATCTCTGGCTGAAGGAGACTCGAACCTACGAACCTTAGGACAAGGTACGCAGTGCTTTACCAATCTACCCACACTGGACCAATACCTTGGCGTGTAGCATGAGCTACACGTTTGATCCAAGGCAGCCAGCTTTCAGGGAGAAGGCTTACAGCTTTTCATCTCATCCCCTGGATGCATCAGCCTTACTAGAGATTTGAACAATGCTCTCGCATGCTCTCGCATGCTCTCGCGAATTCCTTGCATTGTTCAAATCTCTAGTAAGGCTGATGCATCCAGGGGATGAGATGAAAAGCTGTAAGCCTTCTCCCTGAAAGCTGGCTGCCTTGGATCAAACGTGTAGCTCATGCTACACGCCAAGGTATTGGTCCAGTGTGGGTAGATTGGTAAAGCACTGCGTACCTTGTCCTAAGGTTCGTAGGTTCGAGTCTCCTTCAGCCAGAGATCAGTGTTTGTGTATATTTCGCATGCTCTCGCGAATTCCTTGCATATATATATATATATATATATATATATATATATATATATATATATATATATATATATATATTACCAAGCGATACAGGATGCAAAACAACCACGGAGGGAGTAGAATGATAGCTCTAGGCCTTTCGTATTGCAATCAACACATCATCAGGAGCTTGCAAAATTGCAGAAATGAGGAGGATGTCCAAACAAGTACATTCCCAAAGGACCGTCTTCACTGGAGTGAGTGAGGGAGGGAGAGAGAAGGATACAGGAAGTGCCCCCAGGCACAACAGTGCCTACAACCATAAGGATGAATATTATAGCATTACAGCATATCACTGTGATATGGGTTAACTTTTTGCAATTTAGATAACGAAAGGGACCTATTCCCTGAAACGTTCAACATCTCTTTTCTGCAATTTTACAAGCTCCTGATGATGTGTTGATTGCAACAATAATATATATATATATATATATATATATTATATTATATATATATATATATATATTATATATATATATATATATATATATATATATATATATTATATATATATATATATATGTGTGTGTGTGTGTGTGTGTGTGTGTGTGTGTGTGTGTGTGTGTGTGTGTGTGTGTGTGTGTGTGTGTGTGTGTAAGAATGTTCTTTTTCTTTATTGGTTTTAGCCAATAAAAGGAGAGGACGGATCACAAGTCTTTCAATCAAGAGGATCTCATCGGAATCAAGGGACCTTCGTTGATGGGATGACAATGTAATTGACATAAAAATTAATATAAAATATTTTTATTTCCTTTTTTGTTTATAGTAATTATAACTGCCATATTTTGTTAATAATAAATTTGTCCTCACTGTTACCATTAAGATTATATAATAATAATAATAATAATAATAATAATAATAATATTATTATTATTATTATTATTATTATTAACATTATTATTATCAATATAATTATTATCCCTTGGAGATATAATGAGGAAATAAGGGGTATATCCTTCTATGAATTTGTATTTAAAAATATTGAAATGCATTTTAAACCGTATTTATTATAAATTTACCAGTTTAAGTGACCAGGCTCTAAATTATTGCTCAAAATGTTCACCGTTCAAAATAAAAAATAATTTTAACTTAAGAAATTACTCAGAATTGGCTGTAAACTTGTTGCATACTACTACTCAAAATAATAAGAATTTTTTTCTTAAAAAACAAATTCCAGCTTACTCCATCAAAACACAGAATTAACAAAAAAAGTGTCTTCATGTATATTTTAATTATTATTATAATCAAAAAGAAGCGCTAAGCCACAAGGGCTATACAGCGCTGAATGTATATTTTAATAAGTTCAGGTATCCTCCGTCACTATTCCGCTTTGGGTCGTTTGGCTTGGAAAGCCTCTCGGGTCTTCTGGTAAACCTCGGTGAAGAGGAAGGTGCCAGCGAAGACCAAGAGGGTGCCCATCCAGTGCTTCAGGGTGAAGGGATTCTGGAAGTAAACAATAGAGAACACGAGGGAGAGGAACTTCCTGAGGGTGAGGACCAGGGTGACGGTGAGCGCGTTGCATTCGGAAGTCAATCTGAACACGGAACTCACACAAAGATATCTGGTGATCATGGTTAAGGAACGAACATCATCCAGTAGACATAAAAACACGTTATCTAACGCACGTTCTGATCAATATTGAGTTTAACTTCTTGGATATTAGCCTAAATACATTAAGGGGGTTGTGCAAGAGTTTTTTTCAAGGTTACGTTAGGCTGTATGAGGATGGGTTTTATTACGTTAGGTTTTGTTACTATAAACAGTTTTAATCCTATTTACCAAAAATTTAACTTTTTTTCCACGGCACAGTCCAGTAAATATTAAAAAATATATATTCATTAAAAAAATCGAACTTCTAAACACAATACTGATCCAGGTTCTTGCTTAGACGATATTTCGCTCTGAACTGCATTCAGTCCCGATCGAAAAGTCGTGAAAAATAAATGCCTGCTTTGCATTACGTATATTCATATCCACGTGTTGGCTTGTCGCCCAAGTCACTAACTTCATCCAGCTCCTCAGAGGTAGGCCGTGCGTCTAGGATAACTACAAAGACTAACAGAAACATAATTGGATCAAATAAAGGATACTGTGTAAGGACGTTGCCGGCGAGGAAGAGCCAGAGTCTGGGTAAGTGAGCCAGACCAGGTACGAAAGAGAGGACGGGCAACACAGCCGACCGATTGAACCGAACACAGTGGTCCGTGTGATGTAGTCCAGCTGGGCTTGTGAGGTCTCTGGGGAGACCTAATTTAACCAATTATATGGTCACACCTTGCCTTGGCAGACGTCTGTAGCCACGCCCACGTCTGAGCTCTTTTGTTCTTAACAGCGTCAGAGCTCGGCGTCAGGTCGCAACACGTGGTACATACACCATTGGGGAGGGGGGTACTTTGACTACGATATAAGCCCAGGGAAGAGCGGGGCAAGGAGGTTGTTGGTGACAGGTCCGTCGAGCGAGAGCTCTGGACAGCCGCGTGTGTAGTGGACCACGCATTGGGAATCTCGGGTCAGCTGGTCGGTGAATTAAGAGTGAGTACTAGTCCGTGTTACTGATAACATCTACCCTTCCCCCTGGTAATAAGTCTCATAGGTCAATTGTTATATTGTGTAAATTTCCATCAGGAGATGTTGTATTCTAGCCCTTTTATGTTATTAAGTAAACTATAGCCATAGTTCCCATTTTTATTTGTACCTTCATATGCTATTCCCTAGCTTGTTAAGCACTGGGATATACGGGGGACGTGCTCACTCGCTGGGATACCTCCGGTAGAGTGGGTAGAGGTCTCACATCCGCGATGGTCTTCCACGTCAACAGGAATCCGGGTAAGGACAAGGTGTGCTGGAGAGAGATCATATTATCTGTGTATCTGAATCTTTATCAATCTGTAATCAGTGCCAAGACGATATCAGTATTTCTTTTTACATCTTTAACATTTTCAGTAAACATGTACCTCATTCTTTTTAATATAATTTTTATCATATTCTGTCTATTTATCTATTTTTGATTGTGATTACATAATTGCTGTTGTAGGAACACAAGATGGCCAACGTGCTGACTAGACAGATACAGGGCAACGATTAGCAGACAGAGGATCGAGCTCCATCACCTTGCTGAAGTGGACACACGTGGGTTTAGCGCTCCATAAAATGCTTGTATATACTCATTGTGTTATTTAGTTTTAATTAATTTTCATTTATAGCAATGGGCTTCCTCTTTCTGAAAAGATGTGTGTGTGTGTGTGTGTGCTCACCTATTTGTACTCATCTATTTGTGGTTGCGGGGGTCGATTCATAGCTCCTGGCTCCGCCTCTTCACTGATTGCTACTAGGTCGTCTCTCTCCTTGCTCCATGAGCTTTATCAAACCTCATCTTAAAACTATGTATGATTCCCGCCGCCACAGAGTCTTGAACGATTCCTTACTGAGGTATCGGAACGCTATCCTTAGGTTTGCCAGACGCCCGTATGCTGCAGCAGTTATCTGACTGATGTGCTCCTCAGGAGATGTGCTCGGTGTTATATTCACCCCAAGATCTTTTTCCTTGAGTGAGGTTTGCAGTCTTTGGCCACCTAGACTATACTGTGTCTGTGGTGTGTGTGTGTGTGCATGTGTACTCACCTAGTTGAGGTTGCAGGGGTCGAGTCCAAGCGCCTCGCCTCGCCTCTTCACTGGTCGCTACTAGGTAACTCCCCTTGAACCGTGGACTTTATCATACCTCTGCTTAAAGCTATGTATGGATCCTGCCTCCACTACATCGCTTCCCAAACTATTCCACTTCCTGACTACTCTGTGGCTGAAGAAATACTTCCTAACATCCCTGTGATTCATCTGTGTCTTCAACTTCCAACTGTGTCCCCTTGTTGCTGTGTCCCAGCTCTGGAACATCCTTTCTTTGTTCACCTTGTCAATTCCTCTCAGTATTTGGTATGTCGTTATCATGTCCCCCCTATCTCTCCTGTGTGTGTGTGTGTGTGTGTGTGTGTGTGTGTGTGCTGTACTCACCTAGTTGTACTCACCTAGTTGAGGTTGCAGGGATCGAGTCCTAGCTCCTGGCCCCGCCTCTTCACTGGTCGTGTGTGTGTGTGTATTCACCTAGTCACCTAGTTGTACTCACCTAGTTGAGGCTGCATGTGTGTGTGTGTGTGTGTGTGTGTGTGTGTGTGTGTGTGTGTGTGTGTGTGTGTGTGTGTGTGTGTGTGTGTGTGTATGTGTGTGTGTGCTTGTGTGTGCGTGTGTATGTGTGTGTGTGTACTCACCTAGTTGTTCTCGCCTAGTTGTGGTTGCAGGGGTCGATTCACAGCACCTGGCCCCGCCTCGTCACTGGTCACTAATAGGTCACTCTTCCTGCTCAGTGAGCTTTATCATACCTCTTCTTAAAGCTATGTATGGATCCTGCCTCCACTACATCACTTCCCAGACTATTCCACTTCCCGACAACTCTGTGACTGAAGAAATACTTCTTAACATCCCTGGTGATTTATCTCAGTCTTCAGCTTCCAACTGTGACCCCTTGTTGCTGAGTCCCATATCTGGAATATCCTGTCTCTGTCCACCTTTTCGATTCCTCTCAGTATTTTATATGTCGGTATCATATCCCTCTTATCCTCCAGTGTTGTCAGGACGATTTCCCTTAACCTCTCCTCGTAGGACATACCCCTTAGCTCCTGGAAACCTTTCCACTTTCTCTAGTTTCCTTACATGCTTGGCTAGGTGTGGATTCCAAACTGGTGCTGCATACTCCAATATGGGTCTGACGTACACAGTGTACAGGGTCCTGACCGATTCCTTATTAAGATGTCGGAATGCTGCTCGTAGGTTTGCTTGGCGCCCGTATGTTGCAGTAGTTATTTGGTTGATGTGCGCTTCACGAGATGTGCCTGGTGTTATACTCACCCCAGATCCTTTTCCTAAAGAGATGTTTGTAGTCTCTGGCCCCCCTAGACTCTACTTTGTCTGTGGTCTTCTTTGCCTTTCCCCAATCTTCATGACTTTGCACTTGGGGCTGAACTCCAGGAGCCAGTTACTGGACCAGGCCTGCAGCCTATCCAGATCCCTTTGTAGTTCTGCCTGGTCCTCGTCCGACTGAATTCTTCTCATCAACTTCACATCATCTGCAAACAGGGACACTTCGGAGTTTATTCCTTCCGTCATGTCATTAACAAATACCACAAACAGCACCGGTTCCAGGACTGATTGTTGTGGATCCACGGTCGTTACAGTCGCCCACTCTGACACCTCGTGTGTGTGTACTCACCTAATTGTACTCACCTAATTGTGGTTGCAGGGGTCGAGACTCAGCTCCTGGCCCCGCCTCTTCATTGATCGCTACTAGGTCCTCTCCCTCTCTGCTTCCTGAACTTTGTCATACCTCTTCTTCAAACTATGTATGGTTCCTGCCTCCACTACTTCACTTGCTAGGCTATTCCACTTCCTGACGACTCTATGATTGAAGAAATACTTCCTAACGCCCCTGTGGCTCGTCTGAGTCTTCAGCTTCCAGTTTTGACCCCTTGTTTCTGTGTCCCCTCTCTGGAACATCCTATCTCTGTCCACCTTCTCTATTCCCCACAGTATCTTGTATGTCGTTATCATGTCTTCCCTGACCCTTCTGTCCTCCAGTGTCGTCAGTCCGATTTCCGTCAACCTTTCCTCGTACGACATTCCCCTGAGCTCTGGGACTAGCCTTGTTGCAAACCTTTGTACTTTCTCTAACTTCTTGAGGTGCTTGACCAGGTGTGGGTTCCAGACTGGTGCTGCATACTCCAGTATGGGCCTAACATACACAGTGTACAGTGTCTTGAACGATTCCTTATTAAGGTATCGGAACGCTATTCTCAGGTTTGCCAGGCGCCCGTATGCTGCAACAGTTATTTGGTTGATGTGTGCCTCCGGTGACGTGCTCGGTGTTATGGTCACCTGTAGTCTTTGTCCACCTAGCCTATACTCTGTCTGCGGTCTTCTGTGCCCCTCCCCAATCTTCATGACTTTGCATTTGGCAGAACTGAACTCGAGAAGCCAGTTTCTGGACCACATGTCCAGCCTGTCCAGGTTTCTTTGCAGTCCTGCCTCATCCTCATCCGATTTAATTCTTCTCACCAGCTTCACATCATCTGCGAATAGGAACACTTCAGAGTCTATTCCTTCCATCATGTCGTTCGCATATATCAAAAATAGCACTGGTCCTAGAACTGACCCCTGTGGGACCCCGCTCGTCACAGGCGCCCACTGTGACACCTCTTCACGTACCATGACTCGTTGTTGCCTCCCTGTCAGGTATTCCCTGATCCATTGCAGTGCCCTCCCTGTTATATGCGCCTGATCCTCCAGCTTCTGCACTAATCTCTTGTGGGGAACTATGTCAAAGGCCTTCCTGCAGTCTAGGAAAATGCAATCAACCCACCCCTCTCTATCGTGTCTTACTTCTGTTACCTTGTCATAAAACTCCTAAAGGTTTGTGACACAGGATTTGCCTTCCATGAACCCATGTTGGTTTTCATTCATAATCTTGTTCCGTTCCAGGTGTTCCACCACTCTCCTCCTGTGTGTGTGTGTGTGTGTGTGTGTGTGTGTGTGTGTGTGTGAGAGAGAGAGAGAGAGAGAGAGAGAGAGAGAGAGTGCGCTCCTTGAATGAGAAATTTATCATAAATTAGAAAAATATAGCACATTACTCGTCATACCCAAACTGGTAATGAAACTTACGAAATCTCAACTCAAGAGACGTTGAATAAAAAAATGATAAAATGTAGCAACTCACGATGTAGAAGAGCGCCTCCTTGGAATGCTTGCCGTGTTTCGTGTAGAGGCACTCTTGATAGATGCCCATCCTCGCTGACATGAAGAGAGCAAATGTAAGAATCGCGATACCCATCAACCAGGTCGTGAAACTTGAAATTTCACCCGAAGACCCGCCTTCTTTCTCGTCCTGGGACTGCAAACGAGGTGTGCATAGGGACACAAGGGGATTATAATTATTAGTTTATATATATATATATATATATATATATATATATATATATATATAATATATATATATATAATATATTATATATATATATATATATATATATATATGTCGTGCTGAATATGTAAAACTGGTCAATTAGCAAGAACTCATTTAAAATTAAGTCCTTTCTAAAATTTTCTCTTATACGTTTAAAGATATATTTTTTCATTAATGTTAATGTAAAAAAAAATAATTTTGCTCCAAAAGAATCTTAGAAAACTTACCTAACCTTATTATAACAAGAACAATTTATTTTAGCCTAGCCCAACTAAATATATTTTAGATTTGTTTACAGTAATTTAATACTAAACAAACACAGTGAAATATATTTTTTTCGTTAGGTTCAGAGTGATTTTGGCGAAATTATTGCATACACAAATTTTCGCTTGTCCTATATTGCAAGATGAGCTGCTGTCCGAAGTATTCATGCACAGGCAGCCATGATGCTTCAACCAAACCAGCTTGGCTTTGGGGTCTCTCAAGGAAGTGAAGCAGCGGTTCATGCAACAAGGGCGAATATCAACAACCTGCCTGAGGACAATGCAGTGGTAAAATTAGATTTTAAGAATGCATTCAATCTCCTGAAAAGAGACTTGGTATTAGCAGCAGTACAAGAACATTTCCCTGGTCTTTTCCCTTTTGTTGCAGCTGGGTATAGCAAGGAATCAATGCTTCTCTTTGGAGAGCATGAAATCACATCATCGGAGGGTGTCCAACAAGGAGATCCTCTTGCACCATTTCTCTTCTGTATAGCAGTTAGGGAAATCACAGTCAGACTGACCAGCGAGCTAAACATCTGGTTCCTAGATGATGGCACACTAGCAGGTACAAAGGAGTCCCTCCTACATGATCTTACACAGGTAATGACACGGGGACAGGAAATGGGTCTCATCCTGAATCCATCCAAATGTGAAATTATCT